ATATATATATATATATATAAAATTATGATTTTAGAATACTTACTGAAATTACCCATGATTGTAGATATCAGTTATCAGTTACAGATAATTACAGTAAGTAATATTTCTGTATTCTAAAATCAAAATTATCTATGCTCTATTCCAAGCATTGAGCACTATAGTAAACTCTATTCATTATAAATTTAAATCTTCATCAGACCGGGTGTAACAGCAAAATTGTACAACAGTTAGATTAAGCTCTGAAAAGTTGAAATGATTAAAGATATCTTACTAGAATTCTCCAAGGTTTTTATAACACTATTGAACTCTACTTTGAGCAGTAAGACTGGATAATTTCTCTCCAAACTTAACAGAAATTTCGTCATGAAATTGATCATAAACGAAACAGACTTGTTCATTATTAATCATAGCTAAGGATTGGAAGCTCATGAAGTATTGAAATAAAGTTCAAATATATATATTATTCCAGGATTATTTTCCAACTTATTCAAGATGATCTTCACCCTCTAACCTTCTAACTTCTGTCCTGGAGTAGCAAGGTACCACACATTTCATGTATGATTACATTTTTAAGTCTTTTTTCACTTCTTTGGACTATCATCGGTGAAACTCCTCTCTAATGAGCCAAATATCTTATGGATTGAGTTGGATCTTTTGTAACTGATCTCTTTAGCTCTAAGGTGAGATGATGATCCCTCTTCCTGTTGTGATCTCCCGATACTGTTTTCCTCTCTAATGTTCACTCTTTTTAAACTTATTCAACATTCCTTGATGATTCCCTTGATGGTTCTTTGAATGACTGAAGCCAGAGTATGACTGTTGATACCATTACAGAAGCCAGTTGGGAAGACAGCGCTTTGACACAAAAAAACAATTCTAACCTGTTCTCTTTTTAGCTGAATAACTCAAAATGTTTTTACCGATTCTTACAACAAATGGTGTCAAGATGGATAAATACCTTATCTGAAAACCTGGAAAAAAGGAACTCAATTGGTTTAGTGGATTTTTAGAAATTAAACATTTTGTGGGATGGACAATTATGTTGTTACATGATTTGGACAATTTTGCTGTTACACCAGGTATAATATGAACAGACCTTGTGTTTGTTTAAAACTCTCCTAATATCAAATATGTCATTGTAAATATTTATTTTGTTTTGTTTAAGGCTCTTTTGCTAATAATGGCTTTGATTTTCTTACAATACATCCATTTCAATTATTTCTGTATTTTTGTATGCTTCTTATTTTATAAACTGACATTTCTCTAGTCATGCAGTTTTCATCCATTACTTAACATAACCAGTTTTCTTTGATCTAGTTTATCTAATTTCAAAAGTCAACCATTTTTCCCCTCTCCAAAATTCTTCAAACTCAACCTACTTCTTCTGGATGAGTTGAACAGAGTTCTTGAATAATCCAAGCTCTTTGGTAATTTCATATTGGGTCATTTTTTGTGACATTTCAATGAATCTTCAACCTCTTCTCTAAACCAACTGTTCTTGTTATAATCTGTGAAGAATGCAAATGTTATTATGGCTTTAAAAACAGGCATTTTAAAAGTATATATATGCATAATATATACAAAGATATTAAAACAAAAGGGGTGGGGAGGAGCAAAAAGTAAAAAACATTATTTATCATAAAATCCTTAATTTTCAGAAGTAAATCATGGACAAGATATATAAATATATGCACAAGGAATAAAAAAAGGAAAAATACTAACAGAGAATCAGTAATATAAATTCCAGAGAGATTCCATTAAGAATCAGCAATATTCTTTCTGATTACAGAAGGAAGGCTGCTTAGACTTAACATATAAGGTCACAAGATTTTCAAATGTCAAATGTGAAATATGATCTGCTGACTATTGTTGTGGAGGTGGAAATGGGTACCCTGGAAGACAGAACATTTCTTTTTGTTGTTGTTGTTATTGTTGCTACTGTTGTGGAGGTTAATTCTTTCTCTGCCTTGGTAAATTTAAGTAAAAAGAATACATTGAGAATGGGCAAATAAATATATATTTTATTTACATACATACAAAACTAGTAACTTTTATCTGTTGCTGTTGCTAAGGCAACAAGGACAAAGAATGGTGAAATTAGACATTGCTGATGATTGTTGTTGTTGTTTCTCTCTCAGTATGGATGATGTTGATCTGCATCACATCTTTCTCTCAGCCTGGCAGTGTTGATGTCCAAGTTGGACTGTGTTGACTTTGTTTTAGTTAGAGAACATATAACAATCTTTTGGCTCCAAATTAAACTTTTGGTGTTTGGAGTGAGAGTGGCTCTGACTGGTCAATAAATTGTTCATTTTATTTTGGTTAAAACAGATGTATGCTTGGAACCGATGTACAGAAAACACATTTAGACAGTCTGCTTTGGGTTGTCTAGCAGTCAACATCCAGTTTGAGCATCAAAAAGTCACAACACTACTGTGAAAAATCAGATTATTTATTAAGTTTTCTAAACCACAGAACTGGAAGTATTAACTGGACGTATGTAAATTTTCATGCTGCCTCCAACGGAACTTAGCTGGCACATGCCATTCATCTCTCACCTCTAAACTCTGATTAGTTCTGCCAATATATTCAGCATTTAAAATCATTAAACTAACATAATGTGGTTGTAGGGGAAGTAAAAAACAAGCTTTGGATTCGCCGAAAATAACAAAGCTACACATTTTCAAAGATGTTTTTTAATCATTTCACCCCAAGCAAGGCAATAAAGCTACTAAGATACAAGGGTTTACTGAGTGTAAAAGAATATCAGAAAAAAAACATTATTAAGGAGAGAGTACAATAAAAGAACAAGAAGATAGCAACTGACATTGCATTTTATTTTTGAAAATCAAAGCTGATTGAAAGCAAGAAGGTGGGAAGAGAGTTCCACAAATAAGAAGTGTAAGAGAAGAAAATATTATCATATAATTTGTGGTTATATCCAACAGATTCAACTTTAAAATGATAAAACCTTAGCACTAATCTAGTACTATACTTAAATTCATAAATTCTAAGTCCCATAAAGGAAATCCTATCAGAACATTTCAAATGAAAGTATTTATAGAAAAGGCACAGGGAAGCTATATCATTGCAGTGGGAAGAGACTGAAGCTTAGATGACAGGTCAGGACTAATAGCATTGCAGATTCTTTTTTGTATTTTCTCAATAATCTCTGAATGAATATGGCAGCAATATTCAATGCATGGACAAATGGTAGATTTACAAAGGTTTAAGGTAGATTCTGGCAGAAAAATTATCTAGCAGAACACACTGAACCTATTTTCCTTGTAGAAAACCTAGTAATTGATTCAGTATAATCTTTTCACTTCATGTCAACAGAAAATATTAGATCCAGAAGGCACACTGTGTCACTCTCTTGGATGTTAGCATCAGCTATATTGATGGAAGGTTAAAAAAGTTTTCTTAGATGATTAACAGAAGGAGTTGTGTTTTGGATGCATTAAAATTAACAAGCCATTACTTGCCCCAATTAACCACATATTGTAGATCATTTTTTTAGATCAGCTGCCAATTTACAAATTGATGAGAGTTAAAATTAAGACAGTAGTAGATAAGCATGTCATCAGCATCGGGATTTTATTGAGAATAGATGACATCAGGAAGGACATTGATTAAAATTATGATAAATATTTGGTCCAAAGATAAAGCTGTGGGTGGATGCCTGAATTAATGCAATGAGCTTTAAAAGATCGGCCAGTCAAGAAAAATGTTTGATAAGTTGTAATGACAAGCAAATTACTTAGAAGCTATATGGTGCCTCATTCTGTCAACAAACAAAGTTGAGGATATATTTACAATTACTAAATGTAGAGAGAATCAGAACTGAACAGGCAGATGGGAACCAAGTGGTGATCAGAACTGAACAGGCAGACGGAAACCAAGTGGTGATCAGAAATGAAGAGGCAGGTGGAAACCAAGTGGTGATCAGAACTGAACAGGCAAATGGGAACGAAGTGGTGATCAGAACTGAAGAGGCAGGTGGAAACCAAGTGGTGATCAGAAATGAAGAGGCAGGCGGAAACCATGTGGTGATCAGAAATGAAGAGTCAGAAGGAAACCAAGTGGTGATCAGAACTGAAGAGGCAGGTGGAAACCAAGTGGTGATCAGAAATGAAGAGGCAGGCGGAAACCATGTGGTGATCAGAAATGAAGAGTCAGACGGAAACCAAGTGGTGATCAGAACTGAAGAGGCAGGTGGAAACCAAGTGGTGATCAGAAATGAAGAGGCAGGCGGAAACCATGTGGTGATCAGAAATGAAGAGGCAGGTGGAAACCAAGTGGTGATCAGAACTGAAGAGGCAGGTGGAAACCAAGTGGTGATCAGAAATGAAGAGGCAGCTGGAAACCAAGTGGTGATCAGAAATGAAGAGGCATATGGGAACCAAGTGGTGATCAGAACTGAACAGGCAGATGGGAACCAAGTGGTGATCAGAACTGAAGAGGCAGGTGGAAACCAAGTGGTGATCAGAAATGAAGAGGCAGGCGGAAACCATGTAGTGATCAGAAATGAAGAGTCAGATGGAAACCAAGTGGTGATCAGAACTGACGAGGCTAGTGGAAACCAAGTGGTGATCAGAACTGAACAGGCAGACGGAAACAAAGTGGTGATCAGAACTGAAGAGACAGGTGGAAACCAAGTGGTGATCAGAACTGAAGAGGCAGGTGGAAACCAAGTGGTGATCAGAAATGAAGAGGCAGGTGGAAACCAAGTGGTGGTCAGAAATGAAGAGGCAGTTGGAAACCAAGTGGTGATCAGAACTGAACAGGCAGATGGGAACCAAGTGGTGATCAGAAATGAAGATGCAGGTGGAAACCAAGTCGTGATCAGAACTGAACAGGCAGATGGGAACCAAGTGGTGATCAGAACTGAAGAGGCAGGTGGAAACCAAGTGGTGATCAGAAATGAAGAGGCAGGCGGAAACCATGTGGTGATCAGAAATGAAGAGTCAGATGGAAACCAAGTGGTGATCAGAACTGACGAGGCAGGTGGAAACCAAGTGGTGATCAGAACTGAACAGGCAGACGGAAACAAAGTGGTGATCAGAACTGAAGAGACAGGTGGAAACCAAGTGGTGATCAGAACTGAAGAGGCAGGTGGAAACCAAGTGGTGATCAGAACTGAACAGGCAGATGGGAACCAAGTGGTGATCAGAAATGAAGAGGCAGGTGGAAACCAAGTGGTGATCAGAAATGAAGAGGCAGGTGGAAACCAAGTGGTGATCAGAAATGAAGAGGCAGGTGGAAACCAAGTGGTGATCAGAACTGAACAGGCAGATGGGAACCAAGTGGTGATGGGAACTGAACCAGGCAGGTGGAAACCAAGTGGTGATCAGAAATGAAGAGGCAGGTGGAAACCAAGTGGTGATCAGAAATGAAGAGGCAGGTGGAAACCAAGTGGTGATCAGAAATGAAGAGGCAGGTGGAAACCAAGTGGTGATCAGAACTGAACAGGCAGATGGGAACCAAGTGGTGATCAGAACTGAAGAGGCAGGTGGAAACCAAGTGGTGATCAGAAATGAAGAGGCAGGTGGAAACCAAGTGGTGATCAGAACTGAAGAGGCAGATGGGAACCAAGTGGTGATCAGAAATGAAGAGGCAGGTGGAAACCAAGTGGTGATCAGAAATGAAGAGGCAGGTGGAAACCAAGTGGTGATCAGAAATGAAGAGGCAGGTGGAAACCAAGTGGTGATCAGAAATGAAGAGGCAGGTGGAAACCAAGTGGTGATCAGAAATGAAGAGGCAGGTGGAAACCAAGTGGTGATCAGAAATGAAGAGGCAGGTGGAAACCAAGTGGTGATCAGAAATGAAGAGGCAGGTGGAAACCAAGTGGTGATCAGAACTGAAGAGGCAGGTGGAAACCAAGTGGTGATCAGAAATGAAGAGTCAGGTGGAAACCAAGTGGTGATCAGAAATAAAGAGGCAGGTGGAATCCAAGTGGTGATCAGAAATGAAGAGGCAGGTGGAAACCAAGTGGTGATCAGAAATGAAGAGGCAGGTGGAAACCAGAACTGAAGAGGCAGGTGGAAACCAAGTGTTTATCAGAAATGAAGAGGCAGGTGGAAACCAAGTGGTGATCAGGAATGAAGAGGCAGGTGGAAACCAAGTGGTGATCAGAAATGAAGAGGCAGGTGGAAACCAAGTGGCGATCAGAAATGAAGTGGCAGGTGGAAACCAAGTGGTGATCAGAAATGAAGAGGCAGGTGGAAACCAAGTGGTGATCAGAAATGAAGAGGCAGGTGGAAACCAAGTGGTGATCAGAAATGAAGAGGCAGGTGGAAACCAAGTGGTGATCAGAAATGAAGAGGCAGGTGGAAACCAAGTGGTGATCAGAAATGAAGAGGCAGGTGGAAACCAAGTGGTGATCAGAAATGAAGAGGCAGGTGGAAACCAAGTGGTGATCAGAAAATGAAGAGGCAGGTGGAAACCAAGTGGTGATCAGAAATGAAGAGGCAGGTGGAACCAAGTGGTGATCAGAAATGAAGAGGCAGGTGGAAACCAAGTGGTGATCAGAACTGAAGAGGCAGGGAAACCAAGTGGTGATCAGAAATGAAGAGGCAGATGGAAACCAGTGGTGATCAGAAATGAAGAGGCAGGTGGAAACCAAGTGGTGATCAGAAATGAAGAGGCAGGTGGAAACCAAGTGGTGATCAGAAATGAAGAGGCAGGTGGAAACCAAGTGGTGATCAGAAATGAAGAGGCAGGTGGAAACCAAGTGGTGATCAGAAATGAAGAGGCAGGTGGAAACCAAGTGGTGATCAGAAATGAAGAGGCAGGTGGAAACCAAGTGGTGATCAGAAATGAAGAGGCAGGTGGAAACCAAGTGGTGATCAGAAATGAAGAGGCAGGTGGAAACCAAGTGGTGATCAGAAATGAAGAGGCAGGTGGAAACCAAGTGGTGATCAGAACTGAAGAGGCAGATGGGAACCAAGTGGTGATCAGAAATGAAGAGGCAGGTGGAAACCAAGTGGTGATCAGAACTGAAGAGGCAGATGGGAACCAAGTGGTGATCAGAAATGAAGAGGCAGGTGGAAACCAAGTGGTGATCAGAACTGAAGAGGCAGGTGGAAACCAAGTGGTGATCAGAAATGAAGAGGCAGGTGGAAACCAAGTGGTGATCAGAAATGAAGAGGCAGGTGGAAACCAAGTGGTGATCAGAAGAAACTGAAAGAGGCAGAAATGAAGAAGGTGGAAAGTGGTGATCAGAAATGAAGAGGCAGGTGGAAACCAAGTGGTGATCAGAAATGAAGAGGCAGATGGAAACCAAGTGGTGATCAGAAATGAAGAGGCAGGTGGAAACCAAGTGGTGATCAGAAATGAAGAGGCAGGTGGAAACCAAGTGGTGATCAGAAATGAAGAGGCAGGTGGAAACCAGTGGTGATCAGAACTGAAGAGGCAGGTGGAAACCAAGTGGTGATCAGAACTGAAGAGGCAGGTGGAAACCAAGTGGTGATCAGAAATGAAGAGGCAGATGGGAAACCAAGTGGTGATCAGAAATGAAGAGGCAGATGGAAACCAAGTGGTGATCAGAACTGAAGAGGCAGGTGGAAACCAAGTGGTGATCAGAAATGAAGAGGCAGGTGGGAAACCAAGTGGTGATCAGAAATGAAGAGGCAGTGGAAACCAAGTGGTGATCAGAACTGAACAGGCAGATGGGAACCAAGTGGTGATCAGAAATGAAGAGGCAGGTGGAAACCAAGTGGTGATCAGAATGAAGAGGCAGGGGGAAACCAAGTGGTGATCAGAAATGAAGAGGCAGATGGAAACCAAGTGGTGATCAGAACTGAAGAGGCAGGTGGAAACCAAGTGGTGATCAGAAATGAAGAGGCAGGTGGAAACCAAGTGGTGATCAGAACTGAAGAGGCAGGTGGAAACCAAGTGGTGATCAGAAATGAAGAGGCAGGTGGAAACCAAGTGGTGATCAGAAATGAAGAGGCAGATGGAAACCAAGTGGTGATCAGAAATGAAGAGGCAGGTGGAAACCAAGTGGTGATCAGAACTGAAGAGGCAGGTGGAAATGAAGGTGATCAGAAATGAAGAGGCAGGGAAACCAAGTGGTGATCAGAACTGAAGAGGCAGGTGGAAACCAAGTGGTGATCAGAAATGAAGAGGCAGGTGGAAACCAAGTGGTGATCAGAACTGAAGAGGCAGGTGGGAAACCAAGTGGTGATCAGAAATGAAGAGGCAGGTGGAAACCAAGTGGTGATCAGAAATGAAGAGGCAGGTGGAAACCAAGTGGTGATCAGAAATGAAGAGGAAACCAAGTGGTGATCAGTGAAGAAACCAAGTGGTGATCAGAACTGAACAGGCAGATGGGAACCAAGTGGTGATCAGAAATGAAGAGGCAGGTGGAAAAGTGGTGAAGAAAGCAGGTGGGAAACCATGGTGATCAGAAATGAAGAGGCAGGTGGAAACCAAGTGGTGATCAGAAATGAAGAGGCAGATGGGAACCAAGTGGTGATCAGAAATGAAGAGGCAGGTGGAAACCAAGTGGTGATCAGAAATGAAGAGGCAGATGGAAATAAAAAACCAAGTGGTGATCAGAAATGAAAGGTGGAAACCAGTGGTGATCAGAAATGAAGAGGCACCAAGTGGTGATCAGAAATGAAGAGGCAGGTGGAAACCAAGTGGTGATCAGAAATGAAGAGGCAGGTGGAAACCAAGTGGTGATCAGAAATGAAGAGGCAGGTGGAAACCAAGTGGTGATCAGAAATGAAGAGGCAGGTGGAAACCAAGTGGTGATCAGAACTGAAGAGGCAGGTGGGAAACCAAGTGGTGATCAGAAATGAAGAGGCAGGTGGAAACCAAGTGAGATCAGAACTGAAGAGGCAGGTGGAAACCAAGTGGTGATCAGAAATGAAGGCAGGTGGAAACAAGTGGTGATCAGAAATGAAGAGGCAGATGGGAAACCAAGTGGTGATCAGAAATGAAGAGGCAGGTGGAAACCAAGTGGTGATCAGAAATGAAGAGGCAGGTGGAAACCAAGTGGTGATCAGAAATGAAGAGGCAGGTGGAAACCAAGGTGGAAATGAAGAGGCAGTGGTGATCAGAAATGAAGAGGCAGGTGGAAACCAAGTGGTGATCAGAAATGAAGAGGCAGGTGGAAACCAAGTGGTGATCAGAAATGAAGAGGCAGGTGGAAACCAAGTGGTGATCAGAAATGAAGAGGCAGGTGGAAACCAAGTGTTGATCAGAAATGAAGAGGCAGGTGGAAACCAATGGTGATCAGGAAATGAAGAGGCAGGTGAAACCAAGTGGTGATCAGAAATGAAGAGGCAGGTGGAAACCAAGTGGTGATCAGAAATGAACAGGCAGATGGAAACCAAGTGGTGATCAGAAATGAAGAGGCAGGTGGAAACCAAGTGGTGATCAGAAATGAAGAGGGGCAGGTGGAAACCAAGTGGTGATCAGAAATGAAGAGGCAGGTGGAAACCAAGTGGTGATCAGAAATGAAGAGGCAGGTGGAAACCAAGTGGTGATCAGAAATGAAGAGGCAGGTGGAAACCAAGTGGTGATCAGAAATGGAAGAGGCAGGTGGAAACCAAGTGGTGATCAGAAATGAAGAGGCAGGTGGAAACCAAGTGGTGATCAGAAATGAAGAGGCAGGTGGAAACCAAGTGGTGATCAGAACTGAAGAGGCAGGTGGAAACCAAGTGGTGATCAGAAATGAAGAGGCAGGTGGAAACCAAGTGGTGATCAGAAATGAAGAGGCAGGTGGAAACCAAGTGGTGATCAGAAATGAAGAGGCAGATGGGAACCAAGTGGTGATCAGAAATGAAGAGGCAGGTGGAAACCAAGTGGTGATCAGAAATGAAGAGGCAGATGGGAACCAAGTGGTGATCAGAACTGAAGAGGCAGGTGGAAACCAAGTGGTGATCAGAAATGAAGAGGCAGGTGGAAACCAAGTGGTGATCAGAAATGAAGAGGCAGGTGGAAACCAAGTGGTGATCAGAAATGAAGAGGCAGGTGGAAACCAAGTGGTGATCAGAAATGAAGAGGCAGGTGGAAACCAAGTGGTGATCAGAAATGAAGAGGCAGGTGGAAACCAAGTGGTGATCAGAAATGAAGAGGCAGGTGGAAACCAAGTGGTGATCAGAACTGAACAGGCAGATGGGAACCAAGTGGTGATCAGAAATGAAGAGGCAGGTGGAAACCAAGTGGTGATCAGAACTGAACAGGCAGATGGGAACCAAGTGGTGATCAGAAATGAAGAGGCAGGTGGAAACCAAGTGGTGATCAGAAATGAAGAGGCAGATGGGAACCAAGTGGTGATCAGAACTGAAGAGGCAGGTGGAAACCAAGTGGTGATCAGAACTGAAGAGGCAGGTGGAAACCAAGTGGTGATCAGAAATGAAGAGGCAGGTGGAAACCAAGTGGTGATCAGAAATGAAGAGGCAGGTGGAAACCAAGTGGTGATCAGAAATGAAGAGGCAGGTGGAAACCAAGTGGTCAGAAATGAAGAGGCAGGTGGAAACCAAGTGGTGATCAGAAATGAAGAGGCAGGTGGAAACCAAGTGGTGATCAGAAATGAGAGGCAGGTGGAAACCAAGTGGTGATCAGAAATGAAGAGGCAGATGGAAACCAAGTGGTGATCAGAACTGAAGAGGAGGAAAACCAGGTGGGAACGTGAAATGAGGTGGTGATCAGAAATGAAGAGGCAGGTGGAAACCAAGTGGTGATCAGAAATGAAGAGGCAGGTGGAAACCAAGTGGTGATCAGAACTGAACAGGCAGATGGGAACCAAGTGGTGATCAGAAATGAAGAGGCAGGTGGAAACCAAGTGGTGATCAGAACTGAACAGGCAGATGGGAACCAAGTGGTGATCAGAAATGAAGAGGCAGGTGGAAACCAAGTGGTGATCAGAACTGAAGAGGCAGGTGGAAACCAAGTGGTGATCAGAAATGAAGAGGCAGGTGGAAACCAAGTGGTGATCAGAACTGAAGAGGCAGATGGGAACCAAGTGGTGATCAGAACTGAAGAGGCAGGTGGAAACCAATGGGTGGTGATCAGAAATGAAGAGGCAGGGTGGAAACCAAGGTGATCAGAACTGAAGAGGCAGATGGGAACCAAGTGGTGATCAGAAATGAAGAGGCAGGTGGAAACCAAGTGGTGATCAGAAATGAAGAGGCAGGTGGAAACCAAGTGGTGATCAGAACTGAAGAGACAGGTGGAAACCAAGTGGTGATCAGAAATGAAGAGGCAGGTGGAAACCAAGTGGTGATCAGAATGAAGAGGCAGGTGGAAACCAAGTGGTGATCAGAACTGAAGAGGCAGGTGGAAACCAAGTGGTGATCAGAAATGAAGAGGCAGGTGGAAACCAAGTGGTGATCAGAAATGAAGAGGCAGGTGGAACCAAGTGTTTATCAGAAATGAAGAGGCAGGTGGAAACCAAGTGGATGATCAGAACCAAGTGGTGAAGAGGCAGGTGGAAACCAAGTGTTGATCAGAAATGAAGAGGCAGGTGGAAACCAAGTGTTGATCAGAATGAAGAGGCAGGTGGAACCAAGTGGTGATCAGAAATGAAGAGGCAGGTGGAAACCAAGTGGTGATCAGATGAAGAGGCAGAAAAATGGTGAGGCAGGCAGATGAAACCAAGTGGTGATCAGAAATGAAGAGGCAGGTGGAAACCAAGTGGTGATCAGAAATGAAGAGGCAGGTGGAAACCAAGTGGTGATCAGAAATGAAGAGGCAGGTGGAACCAAGTGGTGACGAAGAGGCAGGTGAAACCAGAAATGAAGAGGCAGGTGGAAACCAAGTGGAATAGAAATGAAGAGGCAGGTGGAAACCAAGTGGTGATCAGAAATGAAGAGGCAGGTGGAAACCAAGTGCTGATCAGAAATGAAGAGGCAGGTGGAAACCAAGTGGTGATCAGAAATGAAGAGGCAGGTGGAAACCATGTGGTGATCAGAACTGAACAGGCAGGATGGGAACAAAGTGGTGATCAGAAATGAAGAGGCAGGTGGAAACCAAGTGGTGATCAGAAATGAAGAGGCAGAGGGGAACCAAGTGGTGATCAGAAATGAAGAGGCAGGTGGAAACCAAGTGGTGATCAGAAATGAAGAGGCAGGTGGGAAACAAGTGGTGATCAGAAATGAAGAGGCAGGTGGAAACCAAGTGGTGATCAGGGTGGAATGAAGAGGCAGGTGGAAACCAAGTGGTGATCAGAAATGAAGAGGCAGGTGGAAACCAAGTGGTGATCAGAAATGAAGAGGCAGGTGGTGAAACCAAGTGGTGATCAGAAATGAAGAGGCAGGTGGAAACCAAGTGGTGATCAGGAATGAAGAGGCAGGTGGAAACCAAGTGGTGATCAGAAATGAAGAGGCAGGTGGAAACCAAGTGGCGATCAGAAATGAAGAGGCAGGTGGAAACCAAGTGAGATCAGAAATGAAGAGGCAGGTGGAAACCAAGTGGTGATCAGAAATGAAGAGGCAGGTGGAAACCAAGTGGTGATCAGAAATGAAGAGGCAGGAAACCAAGTGGTGATCAGAAATGAAGAGGCAGGTGGAAACCAAGTGGTGATCAGAACTGAAGAGGCAGGTGGAAACCAAGTGGTGATCAGAAATGAAGAGGCAGGTGGAACCAAGTGGTGATCAGAAATGAAGAGGCAGGTGGAAACCAAGTGGTGATCAGAAATGAAGAGGCAGGTGGAAACCAAGTGGTGATCAGAAATGAAGAGGCAGGAAAGTGGTGATCAGGGAAAATGAAGAGGCAGGTGGAAACCAATGGTGATCAGAAATGAAGAGGCAGGTGGAAACCAAGTGGTGATCAGAAATGAAGAGGCAGGAAATCCATGGTGATCAAACCAAGTGGTGATCAGAACTGAAGAGGCAGGTGGAAACCAAGTGGTGATCAGAAATGAAGAGGCAGGTGGAAACAAAGTGGTGGATCAGAAATGAAGAGGCAGGTGGAACCAAGTGGTGATCAGAACTGAAGAGGCAGGTGGAAAACCAAGTGGTGATCAGAAATGAAGAGGCAGGTGGAAACCAAGTGGTGATCAGAAATGAACAGGCAGGTGGGAAACCAGTGGTGATCAGAAATGAAGAGGCAGGGAAACCAAGTGGTGATCAGAAATGAAGAGGCAGGTGGAAACCAAGTGGTGATCAGAAATGAAGAGGCAGGTGGAAACCAAGTGGTGATCAGAACTGAAGAGGCAGATGGGAACCAGTGGTGATCAGAAATGAAGAGGCAGGTGGAAACCAAGTGGTGATCAGAACTGAAGAGGCAGATGGAAACCAAGTGGTGATCAGAAATGAAGAGGCAGGTGGAAACCAAGTGGTGATCAGAAATGAAGAGGCAGGTGGAAACAAAGTGGTGATCAGAACTGAAGAGGCAGGTGGAAACCAAGTGGTGATCAGAACTGAAGAGTCAGATGGAAACCAAGTGAGATCAGAAATGAAGAGGCAGGTGGAAACCAAGTGGTGATCAGAATGAAACCAAGGCAGGTGGAAAACCAAGTGGTGATCAGAAATGAAGAGGCAGGTGGAAACCAAGTGGTGATCAGAAATGAAGAGGCAGGTGACGGGCAACCAAGTGGTGATCAGAAATGAAGAGGCAGGTGGGAAACCATGGTGATCAGAAATGAAGAGGCAGGTGGAAACCAAGTGGTGATCAGAAATGAAGAGGCAGGTGGAAACCAAGTGGTGATCAGAAATGAAGAGGCAGATGGGAACCAAGTGGTGATCAGAACTGAAGAGGCAGGTGGAAACCAAGTGGTGATCAGAAATGAAGAGGCAGGTGGAAACCAAGTGGTGATCAGAAATGAAGAGGCAGGTGGAAACCAAGTGGTGATCAGAACTGAAGAGGCAGGTGGAAACCAAGTGGTGATCAGAAATGAAGAGGCAGGTGGAAACCAAGTGGTGATCAGAAATGAACAGGCAGATGGGAACCAAGTGGTGATCAGAACTGAAGAGGCAGGTGGAAACCAAGTGGTGATCAGAAATGAAGAGGCAGGTGGAAACCAAGTGGTGATCAGAAATGAAGAGGCAGGTGGGAACCAAGTGGTGATCAGAAATGAAGATCAGGTGATCAGAAATGAACAGGCAGATGGGGAAACCAAGTGGTGATCACTGAATGAAGATCAGGAAGAGACAGGGAAACCAAGTGGTGATCAGAAATGAAGAGGCAGGTGGAAACCAAGTGGTGATCAGAAATGAAGAGGCAGGTGGAAACCAAGTGGTGATCAGAAATGAAGAGGCAGGATGGGAAACCAAGTGGTGATCAGAAATGAAGAGGCAGGTGGAAACCAAATGGTGATCAGAAATGAAGAGGCAGGTGAAACCAAGTGGTGATCAGAAATGAAGAGGTGGAAACAAGTGCAGATCAGAAATGAAGAGGCAGGTGGAACCAAGTGGTGACTAGAAATGAAGAGGCAGGTGGGAACCAAGTGGTGGATCAGAAATGAAGAGGCAGGTGGAAACCAAGTGGTGATCAGAAATGAAGAGGCAGGATGGGAACCAAGTGGTGATCAGAAATGAAGAGGCAGGTGGAAACCAAGCAGATCAGAAATGAAGAGGCAGGTGGAAACCAGTGGTGATCAGAAATGAAGAGGCAGATGGAAACCAAGTGGTGATCAGAAATGAAGAGGCAGTGTGAAAACCAAGTGGTGATCAGAAATGAAGAGGCAGGTGGAAACCAAGGAGATCAGAAATGAAGAGGCAGGTGGAAACCAATGGTGATCAGAAATGAAGAGGCAGGTGGAAACCAAGTGGTGATCAGAACTGAAGAGGCAGGTGGAAACCATGGTGATCAGAACTGAAGAGGCAGGTGGAAACCAAGTGGTGATCAGAAATGAAGAGGCAGGTGGAAACCAAGTGGTGATCAGAAATGAAGAGGCAGGTGGAAACCAAGTGGTGATCAGAACTGAAGAGGCATGGGAACCAAGTGGATCAGAAATGAAGAGGCAGGTGGAAACCACAAGATCAGAACTGAACAGGCAGGTGGAAACTGGTGATCAGAACTGGCAGAGGAAACCAAGAACTGAAATGAAGAGGCAGGTGGAAACCAATGGTGATCAGAACTAAAGAGGCAGATGGGAACCAAGTGGTGATCAGAACTGAAGAGGCAGGTGGAAACCAAGTGGTGATCAGAAATGAAGAGGCAGGTGGGAAACCAAGTGGTGATCAGAAATGAAGAGGCAGGTGGAAACCAAATGGTGATCAGAACTGAACAGGCAGATGGAACCAAGTGGTGATCAGAACTGAGGCAGGTGGAACCAAGTGGTGATCAGAAATGAAGAAATGGGAAGGTGCAGGTGAAGAAGGTGGACCAAGTGGTGATCAGAACTGAAGAGGCAGATGGAAACCAAGTGGTGACTAGAAATGAACAGGCATGGGAAACCAAGTGGTGATCAGAAATGAAGAGGCAGGTGGAAACCAAGTGGTGATCAGAATGAAGAGGCAGATGGAAACCATGGTGGTGATCAGAAATGAAGAGGCAGGTGGAAACCAAGTGGTGATCAGAAATGAAGAGGCATGGGAACCAGGTGGTGATCAGAAATGAAGAGGCAGGTGGAAAACCAAGTGGTGATCAGAAATGAAGAGGCAGATGGAAAAACCAAGTGGTGATCAGAAATGAAGAGGCAGGTGGAAACCAGTGGTGATCAGAAAATGAAGAGGCAGATGAAACCAAGTGGTGATCAGAAATGAAGAGGCAGGTGGAAACCAAGTGGTGATCAGAAATGAAAGAGGCAGGTGGAAACCAAGTGGTGATCAGAAATGAAGAGGCAGGTGGAAACCAAGTGGTGATCAGATGAAAGAGGGGGAACCAAGTGGTGATCAGAAATGAAGAGGCAGGTGGAAACCAAGTGGTGATCAGAACTGAAGAGGCAGATGGAAACCAAGTGGTGATCAGAACTGAAGAGGCAGGATGGAAGAGGCAGGGAAAGTGGTGATCAGAAATGAAGGCAGGTGGAAACCAAGTGGTGATCAGAAATGAAGAGGCAGGTGGAAACCAAGTGGTGATCAGAAATGAAGAGGCAGGTGGAAACCATGGTGATCAGAAATGAAGAGACAGGTGGAAACCAAGTGGTGATCAGAAATGAAGAGGCAGGTGGAAACCAAGTGGTGATCAGAACTGAAGAGGCAGGTGGAAACCAAGTGGTGATCAGAAATAAAGAGGCAGGTGGAAACCAAGTGGTGATCAGAACTGAAGAGGCAGGTGGAAACCAAGTGGTGATCAGAAATGAAGAGGCAGGTGGAAACCAAGTGGTGATCAGAAATGAAGAGGCAGGGGAGTGGTGATCAGAACTGAACAGGCAGATGGGGAACCAAGTGGTGATCAGAAATGAAGAGGCAGGTGGAAACCAAGTGGTGATCAGAACTGAAGAGGCAGATGGGAACCAAGTGGTGATCAGAACTCGAAGAGGCAGGTGGAAACCAAGTGGTGATCAGAACTGAAGAGGCAGGTGGAAACCAAGTGGTGATCAGAATGAAGAGGCAGGTGGAAACCAAGTGGTGATCAGAACTGAACAGGCAGATGGGGGGATCAGAACTGAAGAAGCAGGTGGAAACCAATGGTGATCAGAACTGAAGAGGCAGGTGGGAACCAAGTGGTGATCAGAACCGAAGAGACAGGTGGAAACCAAGCAGATCAGAAATGAAGAGGCAGGTGGAAACCAAGGGTGATCAGAACTGAAGAGGCAGGTGGAAACCAAGTGGTGGATCAGAAATGAAGAGGCAGGTGGAAACCAAGTGGTGATCAGAAATGAAGAGGCAGGTGGAAACCAAGTGGTGATCAGAATGAAGAGGCAGATGGAAAATGGTGATCAGAACTGAAGAGGTAGGTGGAAACCAAGTGGTGATCAGAAATGAAGAGGCAGGTGGAAACCAAGTGGTGATCAGAAATGAAGAGGCAGGTGGAAACCAGTGGTGATCAGAAATGAAGAAGAAGCAGTGGTGGAAAGGCAGATGGGGTGATCAGAACTGAAGAAGGTGGAACCAAGTGGTGATCAGAAATGAAGAGGAGATGGGGAACCAAGTGGTGATCAGAAATGAAGAGGCAGGTGGAAACCAAGTGGTGATCAGAATTGAAGAGGCAGATGGGAACCAAGTGGAAATGAATCAGGCAGATGGAAACCAAGTGGTGATCAGAACTGAAGAGGCAGGTGGAAACCAAGGTGATCAGAAATGAAGAGGCAGGTGGAAACCAAGTGGTGATCAGAAATGAAGAGGCAGATGGAAACCAAGTGGTGATCAGAACTGAAGAGGCAGGTGGAAACCAAGGGTGATCAGAAATGAAGAGGCAGGTGGAAACCAAGGGTGATCAGAAATGAACAGGCAGATGGGAACCAAGTGGTGATCAGAAAAGAAGGCAGGTGGAAAACCAAGTGGTGATCAGAAATGAAGAGGCAGGTGGAACCAAGTGCAGATCAGAACTGAAGAGGCAGATGGGAACCAAGTGGTGATCAGAAATGAAGAGGCAGATGAAAACCAAGTGGTGATCAGAACTGAAGAGGCAGATGGGAACCAAGTGGTGATCAGAAATGAAGAGGCAGGTGGAAACCAAGTGGAGGATCAGAACTGAAGAGGCAGGTGGAAACCAAGTGGTGATCAGAATGAAGAGGCAGGTGGAAACCAAGGGTGATCAGAACTGAAGAGGCAGATGGGAAACCAAGTGGTGATCAGAACTGAAGAGGCAGGTGGAAACCAAGTGGTGATCAGAAATGAAGAGGAAGGTGGAAACCAAGTGGTGATCAGAAATGAAGAGGCAGAATGGAAGATCAGAACTGAAGAGGCAGATGGGAAACCATGGTGATCAGAACTGAAGAGGCAGGAAACCAAGTGGGATCAGAAATGAAGAGGCAGGTGGGAAACCAAGTGGTGATCAGAACTGAAGAGGCAGATGGGGAAACCAAGTGGTGATCAGAACTGAAGAGGCAGGTGGAAACCAAGAAATGAACAGGGTGATCAGAAATGAAGAGGGGATCAGAATGGGAACCAAGTGGTGATCAGAACTGAAGAGGCAGATGGGAACCAAGTGGTGATCAGAAATGAAGAGGCAGGTGGAAACCAAGTGGTGATCAGAAATGAAGAGGCAGATGGAAACCAAGTGTAGATCAGAACTGAAGAGGCAGGTGGAAACCAAGTGGTGATCAGAACTGAAGAGGCAGATGGGAACCAAGTGGTGATCAGAACTGAAGAGGCAGGTGGAAACCAAGTGGTGATCAGAACTGAACAGGCAGATGGGAACCAAGTGGTGATCAGAACTGAAGAGGCAGGTGGAAACCAAGGGTGATCAGAACTGAAGAGGCAGATGGGGAACCAAGTGGTGATCAGAACTGAAGAGGCAGATGGGAACCAAGTGGTGATCAGAACTGAAGAGGCAGATGGGAACCAAGTGGTGATCAGAAATGAAGAGGCAGATGGGAACCAAGTGGTGATCAGAACTGAAGAGGCAGGTGGAAACCAAGTGGTGATCAGAAATGAAGAGGCAGATGGGAACCAAGGAGATCAGAACTGAAGAGGCAGATGGAAACCAAGTGGTGATCAGAACTGAAGAGGCAGGTGGAAACCAAGTGGATGAACTGAAAATGAAGAGGCAGAGATGGGAAACCAAGTGGTGATCAGAAATGAAGAGGCAGATGGAAACCAGATCAGAAATGAAGAGGGCAGATGGGAACCAAGTGGAAGATCAGAAATGAAGAGGCAGGGGGAACCAAGTGGTGATCAGAACTGAAGAGGCAGATGGAAACCATGGTGATCAGAAATGAAGAGGCAGGTGGGAACCAAGTGGTGATCAGAACTGAAGAGGCAGATGGGAAACCAAGTGGTGATCAGAAATGAAGCAGATGGGAAACCATGGTGATCAGAACTGAAAAGAGGCATGGAACCATGGTGATCAGAAATGAAGAGGCAGATGGGAAAACCAAGTGGTGACAGAAATGAAGAGGCAGATGGAAACCAAGTGGTGATCAGAACTGAAGAGGCAGGTGGAAACCAGTGGTGATCAGAACTGAACAGGCAGATGGGAACCAAGTGGTGATCAGAACTGAAGAGGCAGGTGGGAATGAACCAAGTGGTGATCAGAACTGAACAGGCAGGGGAAAACCAAGTGGTGATCAGAGATGAAGAGGCAGATGCAGGGGAACCAAGTGGTGATCAGAAATGAAGAGGCAGATGGAAACCAAGATCAGGAAGAGGATCAGAAAATGAACCAAGAGGCAGATGGGAACCAAGTGGTGATCAGAACTGAAGAGGCAGGTGGAAACCAAGTGGTGATCAGAAATGAAGAGGCAGGGGGAAACCAAGTGGTGATCAGGAAATGAAGAGGCAGATGGGAAACCAAGTGGTGATCAGAACTGAAGTAAGATGGGAACCAAGTGGTGATCAGAACAGAAATGAAGAGGCAGGTGGAAACCAAGTGGTGATCAGAAATGAAGAGGCAGATGGGAACCAATGGAGATCAGAAATGAAGAGGCAGGTGGAAACCATGTGGTGATCAGAACTGAACAGGCAGGTGGGAACCAAGTGGTGATCAGAAATGAAGAGGCAGATGGGAACCAAGTGGTGATCAGAACTGAAGAGGCAGGTGGAAACCAAGTGGTGATCAGAAATGAAGAGGCAGATGGGAAACCAAGTGGTGACAGAACTGAAGAGGCAATGGGAAACCAAGTGGTGATCAGAACTAAAGAGATGGGAAACCAAGTGGTGATCAGAAATGAAGAGGCAGGTGGAAACCAAGTGGTGATCAGAACTGAACAGGCAGATGGAAACCAAGTGGTGATCAGAACTGAAGAGGCAGGGAAAACCAAGTGGGTGATCAGAAATGAACAGGCAGATGGGAAACCAAGTGGTGATCAGAAATGAAGAGGCAGGTGGAAACCAAGTGGTGATCAGAACTGAAGAGGCAGGTGGAAACCAAGTGGTGACTGAAATGAAGAGGCAGGTGGAACCAAGTGGTGATCAGAAATGAAGAGGCAGGTGGAAACCAATGGTGATCAGAACTGAAGAGGCAGGTGGAAACTGAAGTGGTGATCAGAAATGAAGAGGCAGGAAACCAAGTGGTGGATCAGAAATGAAGAGGCAGGTGGAAACCAAGTGGTGATCAGAAATGAACAGGCAGATGGAACCAAGCAGGATCAGAACTGGAAGAGGCAGGTGGAAACCAAGTGGTGATCAACTGAACAGGCAGATGGAACCAGAACCAGAAATGAAGAGGCAGTTGGAAACCAAGTGGTGATCAGAAACTGAAGAGGCAGATGGGCTCAGAAACCAGGTGGAGTGGTGGATCAGAACTGAAGAGGCAGGTGGAAACCAAGTGGTGATCAGAACTGAAGAGGCAGGTGGGAACCAAGTGGTGATCAGAACTGAAGAGGCAGGAAACCAAGGGTGATCAGAACTGAAGAGGCAGGTGGAAACCACAGCAGCAGATCAGAAATGAAGAGGCAGATGGGAAACCAAGGTGATCAGAACTGAACTCCAATGGAACCAAGTGGTGATCAGAAATGAAGAGGGGAAACCAAGTGGTGATCAGAATGAAGAGGGGCAGGTGGAAACCAAGTGGTGATCAGAACTGAAGAGGCAGGTGGAACCATGGTGATCAGAAATGAAGAGGCAGATGGAACCAAGGGTGATCAGAACTGAAGAGGCAGAGCGGGAAACTGGCAGATTGTGAACTGAAGAGGCAGGGAAACCAAGTGGTATCAGAAATGAAGAGGCAGGTGGAAACCAAGTGGTGATCAGAACTATGAGGTGCAGACGGGAACCAAGTAAGATCAGAACTGAAGAGGCAGGTGGAAACCAAGGATCAGAAATGTGATCCCAGATCAGATGAAGAGGCAGGTGGAAACCAAGTGGTGATCCAGAACTGAAGAGGCAGATGGGAACCAAGTGGTGATCAGAAATGAAGAGGCAGTGGAAACCAGTGGTGATCAGAACTGAAGAGGGCAGGTGGAAAACCAAGCAAGAGATCAGAAATGAAGAGAAGGTGGAAAGCAAGGAAAGATCAGAATGAAGAGGCAGGTGGAAACCAAGTGGTGATCAGAACTGAACAGGCAGGGGGAAGCAAGTGATGGTGATCAGAACTGAACAGGCAGGTGGAAACCAAAGTGGTGATCAGAACTGAACAGGCAGATGGGAAACCAAGTGGTGATCAGAAATGAAGAGGCAGGTGGAAACCAAGTGGTGATCAGAAATGAAGAGGCAGAGGGGAACCAAGTGGTGATCAGAACTGAAGGGCAGATGGGAACCAAGTGGTGATCAGAACTGAAAGTGCAGATGGGAACCAAGTGGTGATCAGGAACTGAAGAGAGGTGGAAACCAAGGTGATCAGAGCGGTGGTGGTTATCAGAAATGAAGGCAGGTGGAAAACCAAGGTGATCAGAACTGAAGAGGCAGATGGAAACCAAGTGGGTGATCAGAACTGAACAGGCAGATGGGGAAACCAAGTGGTGATCCAGAACTGAAGAGGCAGGTGGGAACCAAGTGGTGATCAGAAATGAAGAGGCAGATGGGGAACCAAGTGGTGATCAGAACTGAAGGGCAGATGGAAACCAAGTGGTGATCAGAAATGAAGAGAATGTAGAAACCAAGTGGTGACTAGAAATGAAGAGGCAGATGGGAAAACCAAGTGGTGATGGGAATGAAGAGGCAGGTGGAGCCAATGGTGATCAGAAATGAAGAGGCAGATGGGGAACCAAGTGGTGATCAGAATGAAGAGGCAGGTGGGAACAAGGGTGATCAGAACTGAAGAGGTAGGTGGAAACCAAGTGGTGATCAGAAATAAAGAGGCAGGTGGAAACCAAGTGGGATCAGAAATGAACAGGCAGATGGAAATAGATCAGAAATGATGAGGCAGGTGGAAACCAAGTGGTGATCAGAACTGAACAGGCAGATGGAAACCAAGTGGTGATCAGAATGGAAGAGGCAGGTGGAAACCAAGTGGTGATCAGAATGAAGAGGCAGGTGGAAACCAAGTGGTGATCAGAAATGAAAGGTGGAAAGGCAGATCAGTGAAACCAAGTGATGATCAGAAATGAAGAGGCAGGTGGAAACCAAGTGGTGATCAGAACTGAAGAGGCAGATGGGAACCAAGTCAGAACTGAAGATCAGGTGGAAACCAAATGAGATGAACAGGTGGAAACCAAGTGGTGACTAGAACTGAAGAGGCAGATGGGAACAGAAGAACTGAAGAGGCAGGTGAACCAGAATTGAAATGAACATTGGAAACCAAGTGGTGATCCAGAAATGAAGAGGCAGATGGAAACCAAGTGGTGATCAGAAATGAAGAGGCAGATGGAAACCAAGTGGTGATCAGAACTGAAGATCAGAAAACTGAAGAGGCAGGTGGAAACCAAAGGTGATCAGAACTGAAGAGGCAGGACGGGAACAAAAGTGGTGATCAGAACTGAAGAGACAGATGGAAACCAAGTGGTGATCAGGGTCTGAAGGGCAGGTGGAAACCAAGTGGTGATCAGAATGAACAGGCAGATGGGAAACCAAGTGGTGATCAGAACTGAAGAGGCAGGTGGAAACCAAGTGGTGATCAGAACTGAAGAGGCAGGTGGAAACCAAGTGGTGATCAGAAATGAAGAGGCAGATGGAAGTAAGTGGTGATCAGGAACTGAACAGGCAGATGGGAACCAAATGGTGATCAGAAAGTGGAAGAGGCAGGTGGAAACCAAGTGGTGATCAGAAAATGAAGAGGCAGGTGGGAAACCAAGTGGTGATCAGAAATGAAGAGGCAGGTGAAAAGCAAGTGGTGATCAGGAATGAAGAGGCAGGGGAAACCAAGTGGTGACAGTGAACTGAGGCAGATGGAAACCGTGGTGATCAGAACTGAAGAGGCAGGTGGAAACCAAGTGGTGATCAGAAATGAACAGGCAGATGGGAAACAAAGTGGTTATCAGAACCGAAGATGCAGATGGAAACCAAGTGGTGATCAGAACTGAAGAGGCAGATGGAAACCAAGCAAGATCAGAAATGAAGAGGCAGGTGGAACAAATTGGTGATCAGAACTGAAGAGGCAGTGTGGAAGTAAAGTGGTGATCAGAACTGAAAGCAGATGGGAACCAAGTGGTGATCAGAATGAAGAGGCAGGTGGAAAACCAAGTGGTGATCAGAAAATGAAGAGGCAGATGGAAACCAAGTGGTGATCAGAACTGAAGAGGGCGAATGGAAAACAAGTGGTGATCAGAACTGAAGAGGCAGACGGAAAACCAAGTGGTGATCAGAAATGAAGAGGCAGGTGGAACCAAGTGGTGATCAGAACTGAAGAGGCCGATGGGAACCCGGTGACTGAATTGGTGATCGGAACTGAAGAGGCAGGTGGGAACCAAGTGGTGATCAGAAATGAAGAGGCAGATGGGAACCATGTGGTGATCAGAAATGAAGAGGCAGGTGGGAAACCAAGTGGTGATCAGAAATGAAGAGGCAGGTGGGGAACTGGGTGGAGGATCAGAACTGAAGAGGCAGGGGGAAAACCATGTGGTGATCAGAAATGAAGAGGCAGACGGAAACCAAGTGGTGATCAGAACTGAAGAGGCAGGTGGAAACCAAGTGGTGATCAGAAATGAAGAGGCAGGCGAAAAGTGGTGATCAGGAACTGAAGAGGCAGGTGGAAACCAAGTGGTGATCGAACTGAAACGAGCAGAAATGAAGAGGCAGGAAACCAAGTGGTGATCAGAACTGAAGAGGCAGGTGGAAACCAAGTGGTGATGGGGAACTGAACAGGCAGATGGGAACCAAGTGGTGGATCAGAATGAAGAGGCAGGTGGAAACCAAGTGGTGATCAGGGGAAATGACCAGTGATCAGAAATGGGAACCAAGTGGTGATCAGAACTGAAGAGGCTAGTGGAACCAAGTGGTGATCAGAACTGAACAGGCAGATGGGAAACAAAGTGGTGATCAGAACTGAAGAGACAGGTGGTGATCAGAACTGAAGAGGCAGAAATGGGAAACCAAGTGGTGATCAGAAATGAAGAGACAGGTGGAAACCAAGTGGTGATCAGAACTGAGGCAGATGGGGGACGGGAACCAAGTGGTGATGGTGATCAGGTGTCGTGATCAGAAATGAACAGGCAGATGGGAAACCAAGTGGTGATCAGAACTGAAGAGGCAGGTGGAAACCAAGTGGTGATCAGAAATGAAGAGGCAGATGGAAACCATGTGGTGATCAGAAACTGAAGAGGCAGATGGAAACAAAATGGTGATCAGAACTGAAGAGGCAGGTGGAAACCAAGTGGTGATCAGAACTGAACAGGCAGACGGGAACAAAGTGGTGATCAGAACTGAAGAGACAGGTGGAAACCAAGTGGTGATCAGAAATGAAGAGGCAGGTGGAAACCAAGTGGTGATCAGAAATGAAGAGGAAGATGGAAACCAAGTGGTGATCAGAACTGAAGAGGCAGGTGGGAACCAAGTGGTGATCAGAAATGAAGAGGCAGGTGGAAACCAAGTGGTGATCAGAAATGAAGAGGCAGGTGGAAAGCGGTGATCAGAACTGAACAGGCAGATGGGAACCAAGTGGTGATCAGAACTGAAGAGGCAGGTGGAAACCAAGTGGTGATCAGAAATGAAGAGGCAGGTGGAAACCAAGTGGTGATCAGAAATGAAGAGGCAGGTGGAAACCAATGGTGATCGAAATGACCAGGCAGATGGGGAACCAAGTGGTGATGAACAAGTGGGAAACCAAGCAGGATTGCCGGTGAAGAGGCAGGAAACCAAGTGGTGATCAGAACTGAACAGGCAGATAGGAACCAAGTGGTGGGAAAACCAAGTGGAAACCAGTGGTGATCAGAACTGAACAGGCAGATGGGAACCGGGCAGGATCAGAATGAAGAGTGTGGTGGATCAGAAGATCAGAAAAAAGGCAGGTGGAAGCCGGGCGGTGATCAGAAATGAAGAGGCAGGTGGAAGCCAAGTGGTGATCAGAATGAAGAGGCAGGTGGAAAACAAGTGGTGATCAGAACTGAAGAGGCAGGTGGAAACCAAGTGGTGATCAGAACTGAACAGGCAGATGGGAACCAAGTGGTGATCAGGAAAGAAAATGAAGATCAGAACTGAAGCAGGCCGGAAACCAAGTGGTGATCAGAACTGAAGAGGCAGGTGGAAACCAAGTGGTGATCAGAAATGAAGAGGCAGGTGGAAACCAAGTGGTGATCAGAACTGAAGACAGGTGGAAACCAAGTGGTGATCAGAATGAAGAGTCAGGGTGGAAACCAAATTGGTGATCAGAAATGAAGAGGCAGGTGGAATCCAAGTGGTGATCAGAACTGAAGAGGCAGGTAGGAAACCAGTGGTGATCAGAACTGAAGAGGCAGGTGGAAACCAAGTGGTGACCAGGAAATGAAAGAGGCAGGTGGAAACCAAGTGGTGATCAGAAATGAAGAGGCAGATGGAACCAAGGCAGCTGATCAGAAATGAAGAGGCAGGTGGAAACCAAGTGGCGATCAGAACTGAAGAGGCAGGTGGAAACCAAGGGTGATCAGAAATGAAGAGGCAGGTGGAAACCAAGGGTGATCAGAAAATGAAGAGGCAGGTGGAAACCAAGTGGTGACCAGAAATGAAGAGGCAGATGGAAACCAAGTGGTGATCAGAAATGAAAGGCAGGTGGAAACCAAGTGGTGATCAGAACTGAAGAGGCAGATGGGGAACCAAGTGGTGATCAGAATGAAAGGCAGGTGGAAACCAAGTGGTGAGATCAGAAATGAAGAGGCAGGTGGAAACCAAGTGGTGATCAGAAATGAAGAGGCAGAACCAAGTGGGAAGGAAAGTAGAGGCAGGTGAAACCAAGTGGTGATCAGAAATGAAGAGGCAGATGGGAAACCAAGTGGTGATCAGAAATGAAGAGGCAGGTGGAAACCAAGTGGTGATCCCAGAACTGAAGAGGCAGGTGGAAACCAAGTGGTGACAGAATGAAGAGGCAGGGTGGAAAACCAAGTGGATGAGAACTGAAGAGACAGGTGGAAACCAAGTGGTGATCAGAAATGAAGAGGCAGGTGAAACCAAGTGGTGATCGAACTGAAGAAATGAAAGAGGCAGGGGAAACCAAGTGGTGATCATGGAAATGAAGAGGCAGGTGGAAACCAAGTGGTGATCAGAATGAAGAGGCAGGTGAAAACCAAGTGGTGATCAGAACTGAAGAGGCAGGTGGGTCCAAGTGGTGATCAGGAAATGAAGAGGCAGGTGGAAACCAAGTGGTGGATCATGAGAACTGAAGAGGCAGGTGGAAACAAGTGGTGATCAGAAATAAGAGGCTGAAGGTGGAAACCAAGTGGTGATCAGAAATGAAGAGGCAGGTGGGAAACCAATGGTGATCAGAAATGAAGAGGCAGATGGGAACCAAGTGGTGATCAGAACTGAAGAGGCAGATGGAACCAAGTGGTGATCAGAACTGAAGAGGCAGGTGGAAACCAAGTGGTGATCAGAACTGAAGAGGCAGGTGGAAACCAAGTGGTGATCAGAATGAAGAGGCAGCTGGAAACCAAGTGGTGATCAGAATGAAGATGGCATATGGGAAACCAAGAGGGTGATCAGAAATGAACAGGCAGATGGGAAACCAAGTGGTGATCAGAACTGAAGAGGCAGGTGGAAACAAAATGGTGATCAGAAATGAAGAGGCATGTGGAAACCATGTAGTGATCAGAACTGAAGAGCAGATGGAAACCAAGTGGTGATCAGAACTGACGAGGCAGGTGGAAACCAAGTGGTGATCAGAATGAACAGGCAGATGGAAACAAAGTGGTGATCAGAAATGAAGAGACAGGTGGGAACCAAGTGGTGATCAGAACTGAACAGGCAGATGGAACCAAGTGGTGATCAGAAATGAAGAGGCAGGTGGAAACCAAGTGGTGATCAGAAATGAAGAGGCAGGTGGGAAACCAAGTGGTGATCAGAAATGAAGGAGATGGAAACCAAGGTGATCAGAAATGACCAGGCAGGTGGAAACCAAGTGGTGATCAGAACTGAAGAGGCAGGTGGAAACCAAGTGGTGATCAGAAATGAAGGGATCAGGTGGAAACCAAGTGGTGATCAGAAATGAAGAGGCAGGCGGAACCAAGTGGTGATCAGAAATGAAGAGGCAGGTGGAAACCAAGTGGTGATCAGAACTGAAGAGGCAGGTGGAAACCAAGTGGTGATCAGAAATGAAGAGGCAGGGGAATTAAGACAGAAAATGAAAGGCAGGTGATCAAGATCAGAACTGAAGAGGCAGATGGGAAACCAAGTGGTGATCAGAAATGAAGAGGCAGGTGGAAACCAAGTGGTGATCAGAACTGAAGAGGCAGATGATCAGAACAAAGAGGGGAACCAAGTGGTGATCAGAAATGAAGAGGCAGGTGGAAACCAAGTGGTGATCAGAAATGAAGAGGCAGATGGAAACCAAGTGGTGATCAGAAATGAAAGAGGAAACCAAGTGGGTGATCAGAACTGAAGAGGCAGATGGGATGAGAAATGAAGAGGAAGGTGGGAAACCAAGTGGTGATCAGAAATGAAGAGGCAGGTGGAAACCAAGTGGTGATCAGAAATGAAGAGGCAGGTGGAAACCAAGTGGTGATCAGAACTGAACAGGCAGATGGGGAAACCAAGTGGTGATCAGAAATGAAGAGGCAGGTGGAAACCAAGTGGTGATCAGAAATGAAGAGGCAGGTGGAAACCAAGTGGTGATCAGAACTGAACAGGCAGATGGGGAACCAAGTGGTGATCAGAAATGAAGAGGCAGGGGAAACCAAGTGGTGATCAGAACTGAACAGGCAGATGGAAACCAAGTGGTGATCAGAAATGAAGAGGCAGGTGGAAACCAAGTGGTGATCAGAAATGAAGAGGCAGGGGGTGATCAGAAAATGAAGAGGCAGGTGGATGGTGATCAGAACTGAACAGGCAGGTGGAAACCAAGTGGTGATCAGAACTGAGAGGCAGGTGGAAACCAAGTGGTGATCAGAACTGAAGAGGGCAGATGGGAACCAAGTGGTGATCAGAAATGAAGAGGCAGGTGGAAACCAAGTGGTGATCAGAACTGAAGAGGCAGATGGAAACCAAGTGGTGATCAGAAATGAAGAGGCAGTGGGGGAAACCAAGTGGTGATCAGAAATGAAGAGGCAGGTGGAAACCAAGTGGTGATCAGAACTGAAGAGGCAGGTGGAAACCAGATGGAAGAGACAGATGGGAAATGAAGAAATGAAGAGGCAGGTGGAAACCAAGTGGTGATCAGAAATAAAGAGGCAGGTGAAACCAGGAAGAAAGAGGGTGGAAACCAAGTGGTGATCAGAAATGAAGAGGCAGGTGGATGGGATCAGAACTGAAGAGGCAGGTGGAAACCAAGTGGTGATCAGAACTGAAGAGGCAGGAAACCAGTGGTGAATGAAGAGGCAGGTGGAAACCAAGGGTGATCAGAAATGAAGAGGCAGGTGGAAACCAAGTGGTGATCAGAACTGAACAGGCAGATGGGAAACCAAGTGGTGATCAGAAATGAACAGGCAGATGGGAAAACCAAGTGGTGATCAGAACTGAAGAGGCAGGTGGAAACCAAGTGGTGATCAGAAATGAAGAGGCAGGAAACCATGGGAAACCAAGTGGTGATCAGAAATGAAGAGGCAGGTGGAAACCAAGTGGTGAGGCAGAACTGAAGAGGCAGATGGGAACCAAGTGGTGATCAGAAATGAAGAGGCAGGTGGAAACCAAGTGGTGATCAGAACTGAACAGGCAGATGGGAAACCAAGTGGTGATCAGAAATGAAGAGGCAGGTGGAAACCAAGTGGTGATCAGAACTGAAGAGGGCAGATGGAAACCAAGTGGTGATCAGAAATGAAGAGGTGGTGGAACCAAGTGGAGATCAGAAATGAAGACCAGGTGGTGGTGATCAGAAATGAAGAGGCAGATGGAAACCAAGTGGTGATCAGAACTGAAGAGGCAGATGGAAACCAAGTGGTGATCAGAAATGAAGAGGCAGGTGGAAACCAAGTGGTGATCAGAAATGAAGAGGCAGGTGGAAACCAAGTGCAAATGACAAGGGTGATCAGAAATGAAGAGGCAGGTGGAAACCAAGTGGTGATCAGAAATGAAGAGGCAGGTGGAAACCAAGTGGTGATCAGAAATGAGGCAGAGGCAGATGGAAACCAAGTGGAAACCAAGAACAGAACTGAACAGGCAGAGGAAACCATGGTGATGAAATGAAGAGGCAGGTGGAAACCAAGTGGTGATCAGAAATGAAGAGGCAGATGGAAACCAAGTGGTGATCAGAAATGAAGAGGCAGGTGGAAACCAAGTGGTGATCAGAACTGAAGAGGCAGGTGGAAAATGGTGATCAGAACTGAACAGGCAGATGGAAACCAAGTGGTGATCAGAAATGAAGAGGCAGGTGGAAACCAAGTGGTGATCAGAAATGAAGAGGCAGGTGGAAACCAAGTGGTGATCAGAAATGAAGAACTGGAACAGGCAGATGGAAGAGGCAGGGGAAACCAAGTGGTGATCAGAAATGAAGAGGCAGGTGGAAACCAAGTGGTGATCAGAACTGAAGAGGCAGGTGGAAACCAAGTGGTGATCAGAAATGAAGAGGCAGGTGGAAACCAAGTGGTGATCAGAAATGAAGAGGCAGGTGGAAACCAAGTGGTGATCAGAAATGAAGAGGCAGATGGGAACCAAGTGGTGATCAGAACTGAAGAGGCAGATGGAAACCAAGTGGTGATGGAACAGAAATGAAGAGGCAGCAGAAAGGTGAAAAATGAAGAGGCAGGTGGAAAACCAAGTGGTGATCAGAACTGAAGAGGCAGATGGGAACCAAGTGGTGATCAGAAATGAAGAGGCAGGTGGAAACCAAGTGGTGATCAGAACTGAAGAGGCAGATGGGAACCAAGTGGTGATCAGAACTGAAGAGGCAGGTGGAAAACCAAGTGGGTGATCAGAACTGAAGAGGCAGATGGAACCAAGTGGTGACAGAAATGAAGAGGCAGATGGAAACCAAGTGGTGGATCAGAACTGAAGAGGCAGGTGGAAACCAAGTGGTGATCAGAAATGAAGAGGCAGGTGGGAACCAAGTGGTGATCAGAACTGAACAGGCAGATGGGAACCAAGTGGTGATCAGAAATGAAGAGGCAGATGGGAACCAAGTGGTGATCAGAACTTAAGAGACAGGTGGAAACCAAGTGGTGATCAGAACTAAAGAGGCAGGTGGAAACCAAGTGGTTATCAGAAATGAAGAGGCAGGTGGAAACCAATGGTGATCAGAAATGAAGAGGCAGGTGGGAAACCAAGTGGTGATCAGAAATGAAGAGGCAGGTGGAAACCAAGTGATCAGAATGAAGAGGCAGGTGGAAACCAAGTGGTGATCAGAAATGAAGAGGCAGGTGGAAACCAAGTGGTGATCAGAAATGAAGAGGCAGATGGGAAACCAAGTGGTGATCAGAAATGAAGAGGCAGGTGGAAACCAAGTGGTGATCAGAACTGAAGAGGCAGAGGGAAACCATGGTGATCAGGAAACCAGGTGGTGATCAGAACTGAAGAGGCAGGTGAAGGGAAACCAAGTGGTGATCAGAAATGAAGAGGCAGGTGGAAACCAAGTGGTGATCAGAAATGAAGAGGCATGGTGGAACTGAACAGGCAGATGGGGTGATCAGAAATGAAGAGGCAGGTGGAAACCAAGTGGTGATCAGAAATGAAGAGGCAGGATGGGAACCAAGTGGTGATCAGAACTGAAGAGGCAGGGAAACCAAGTGGTGATCAGAAATGAAGAGGCAGGTGGATCAGAAAACCAAGTGGTGATCAGAACTGAACAGGCAGATGGGAACCAAGTGGTGAACAGAACTGAAGAGGCAGGTGGGAAACCAAGTGGTGATCAGAAATGAAGAGGCAGGTGGGAAACCAAGTGGTGATCAGAAAATGAAGAGGCAGATGGGAACTGAAGAGGCAGTGGTGATCAGAACTGAAGAGGCAGGTGGAAACCAAGTGGTGATCAGAACTGAACAGGCAGATGGGAAACCAAGTGGTGATCAGAAATGAAGAGGCAGATGGGAAACCAAGTGGTGATCAGGAATGAAGAGGCAGATGGGAAAAGATCAGAAATGAAGAGG